ATCGAGCCCCGCATCGGGCTCCCTGCTCGGCGGGAAGCCTGCTTCTCCCTCTCCCACTCCCCCTGCTTGTGTTCCTGCTCTCGCTATCTCTGTCTCTGAAATAAATAAATAAAACCTTAAAAAATAAAATCTTTACTATTTGATGAAAATATGTAAGATGTACACATATATGCGTATGTATATTTTCACTGAATTCCAAGCTAAATGGATCAATTTTTAAGGGGCCCAGAATTTGATGACCTTTGATTCTTTTTAATTGTTTCGTTTGGTAACACCCAGTACATGTATGTTTTTGTGCGGTGTGCTACTTCGTACTAGCATGAGTGCCTGTGATCTATGGCCCAAGTGAAGAGAACATGCCTGATGTCTCCTGGTCCCCTGTCTCTGTCCCATCTCCCCGCCCCCACCCTTCCACTCCATGCAGGCAGACGTGGTCCTGTGTGTCCACCATCCCCTTGCTTACTTCCCCTTGCAAGTTGTCACATTTTACGGTGAGTGTGTATTTGGTTCTGGCCTAGGGTAGAAGCTGACCTGAGATTTTCCCTGAGCCCTCTGCGTTGCCTCAACGGCCTGACTAGGGTTTGGATATTGTTTTGTTTGTTTGTCATCCAGCTTATAGAAGCATTCCAAAAGATTAAAAAAAAGAAAAAAAGTTTTATTCAGCACTTTTAGTTGTTTTCAGGGAGCACAGCCTTGTCAGGACATTTGGTCCACTGTGATGGTAGAAATCGAAGTTGTCATAAGGCGATTTAAACATGTATCCCATTTGGTTCATTTCTAAAATCATTTTGAACTGTGGTTAGAGACTGTGGTTCATTTGACACTAGTTGCTCAAACTTTGTTTAGACCTGTTTCAGCACCTCCCACCTACTGAGATTTTGTCAGGGTTCTGGTTTTGCTGGAGGAGAACGTGTGTTCTGTGATTGTTGAGCAGAGTGTGACGAACCCCCATGAATTCAAGATTGTTGACAGTGTTGTCCGGGCCTCCTGTGTGGCTAGGGTTCTTTTTTCCTGCTTCTGGGTACAAGTCGGGCCAGGGAGTGTTTTCTCTCAGAACTCTGATGTTTATTATTGCTGCTGAGAAGTTGGCTGTCATCCTGGCTTTGAAGGTGACCTGTCTGTCCTTTCTCTCTGGCTGGCTTTAAGACCTTTTCTTTGTCTTTAATGTTCAACAGTTTTATTACAAACCAGGTGTGGATTTCCACTCATTTTGTCCTGCTTGACCTGTGATGTGCACCCTGTACCAGGGGCTCATCTCTTTTCATCAGTTCTTTGAAATGTCTTGTGATACCAACTCAGACCTTGCCTTTTCTCCCTTCTTCGTGACTTGGCCTGAGGTCCCGATGTGGGTCCACATTAGCACTGCTCTGGCTGC